CAAATAATAGTTGCCCTTTAGATATTCACAAAATAAATAGATAAATAAAAGCCTTTTCATCAATAAATATAATAAGTGGAAATGCCTAAAATTATGTAAAACTTTAAAAATCAAAATTCAAATCAATCATAAAACTAGAGTTATTGTAAATATTATTCCATTTAACAAGACATACAAGCATATAAAAATATAAAAATTAATATTGTTAACAATTTAATAATATTTCTGACGAAGAAAACAAGTCACAAACTATTAAGATCTAACTAATGCATATTGTTGAATTTATATATTTTATGTAAAATACGATAAATGTTAGTAGAAGTTTTTAGGAATTCTACGGACTTTGAATTTTAAAGTATCAGCAAACATCAATGTTTTGTCAATTTGTTGTTTCACGAACATTTGATTACCAATAATTAACAATGTGCATTCCAAGTATTTATTAATGGACATTCCAAGTAGACTTTGGGAGACGAGAAAACGGATCATATCTAGTTTTTCCAGTAGTTGATTTAACAATTTTTCCATGACAAGGATTATGTCTTGTTGTAATTGATCACCAACCACACAGTTCTTGTTCGGTATGGGATAATGTAAGATGTCTCGCATGTATGACAAGAGTTCACATAGTTCACTGGGAGTAACATCCAAATCTAATTTCTATAATAAAAGCAATTTATTAGTTGTTTTATTCACAAGTTATAAATATATTCAAATTACCAATAATAAGTCATTCAACTTTTGTGGTCGACTTCTCAATGTCTTTGTTGAAATGCAAATCTTTTTTTGTGCACCTTTTGTAATGGAGTTTCTGTTTACTTTTGCTATAAAACCATCAATGTTGTCCTCGTCAATGAATACAATTTCAAGATAACTGAGGCTATTGAAGAACCATTGGTATTTATGCAGTTTCAAATAATAAAGCCACTTTCCAACTGCTCCATCCATTTCTTGATTAATAATTGTCAAGTCGCTAAGTGTCTGTGGGTTGTTCACAGAAGTAGCGCTATTGACTTTCGCAATCATTTCCAGATGGTGATACCCGTAACATTCCACTAAAAACAAAGTGTAATTATTTTGATATTATTTTCATATGAATTATAACTTGATCAATGTTTTATTATTCTTACTACTGAAGYGTGGTTGGTCCCTATCAGGTTCTAAATTGGTTGGTCGCAACATATTTTGCCAAACAGGTGTATGCTGCTGCTGAGYAGATTGAAAATTGAATCGCTGGAAAGGGTCTAGTTGTGGGGGTTTGAAATTGTTTGCCCAAATGTTTTCTGTCAAAGTTTCTTTTGGAATATGGTGTTGAGTGTTGCTTAACTGATTTACTTGACTAATGAGTTGTTTCAAATTCCTTAAAATAATTTCAAAATATTATGGCCTAGTTAAAAGATTCRAAAATGATTGAATTTTTTACTCACTCATTAAATATTTTCAAGTGTGTTGATTTTCCAATTAAATGACTTAATTTCATCGCTGCTTCAATGTTGGTACCATTTTTAATTGTTTGATTAAACACACTCCTTAAATTGTACATTAACTCTTCCTTGGCCATGATGTTGTTATTTTTTACCATCATCAATGATTCGTGCAACTTGACATACGATTTTTGTGTTGGGTTTCTGAACCATTTTGCAATTTTATTTGGATCATTAGATTCCAACTCTCTTTTTTTAATCTCTCTATACAACACTGCATATATATCAGGATACTTAAATGACAGATGATCGAGTGATTCACTAAGACATTCTTGTCTTTCTTTGAATGATCTATACTGCATTAAAGTCTTGGCTAATTGTTTCATATCGTCCACTAGACATATAAGCAACATTTAAATTTAAAAAAATGTTTAATGGATATTTAGGTATTAATTATAAAGGTATTTTTGATTTAAAACTATCTTTTAATAATTTTTGTTTTTAGGATTTTTTTGTATAGATTGATGGATAACATTAAAGTTTGATATACCTACCTACCTAATTATGGATCATTGAAAAATACCAGAGAAGGTCAATATTAAAAAAAAAATCATTTTTTAAAGAAAAACTTGATATTGACTATGTCACTAAAATCAAATAGGTATTCAATTTCAAAAACAGCATCAATTTTTAGTATTATAAATAAAATTGAATCATTTAAAAAATAATAGAAACAAACAATAACAGATTTGAATAAATTTTTTGACATAATTTTAATAAATTGAATCTATAAAATGACTATAAATTATAATTTACTTTTAAGTTTCTCGGGTGAACAGATGATATTAATTAATGTTATACAAGAATCACAAAAATATAAAAAYAATGAATTAGGAATTAGGTACCTATAAAATTGTAACATTAAGATGTTCTAACAGGTATATAGTTATAAATCTTAAATTTTAAGTCAAAAGTGGTTATGTTTTATTATTTATGAATTTAGCACTTAAGTAATTATATTAAGATATTAACACTTACTTGTGGAATATTTATCGTGAAGATATTCAGATTTTAAATAGACGTCACGGTGTTTTGTAGTGTTAAAATAGCGAACGATCTAAGAATAGTAATATCCTTTGAAATGGAACGACGATGGGTACGATCACAGAGACGTCAGAACACGGTTTGATCATGAAGTATGAACGTCTGGTACAGTGGTACTCTTGCACTGGTCCGGCTGAGCAGCTTATTTTTCAAATACTCCCTCTCAAGACCCCACTTCCTAATACGTGGTAGGTACGTTGATTGGCCACTGGT